GTTTTGGCCACGGATATGAAATACTGAAGGGATATAGTCCTGGGTAAGGTACAGGTTTAGCTCACTGATATGAAATACTGACGTGAGATAGACCTGGTTAAGGTACAGATATAGCCGACTGATATGAAATACTGATGTGAGATAGACCATGGTAAGGTACAGGCATAGGCCCCTGTTATGAAATACTGACGTTAGATAGACCTGGGTAAGGTACAGATATAGCCAACTGATATGAAATACTGATATGAGAAAGACCTGGGTAACGTACAGGTATAGCCGACTAATATGAAATACTGCCGTAATATCTACCTGGTTAAGGTACAGGTATAGCTCATTGATATGAAATACTGACCTGAGATAGACCTGGGTAAGATACGGGTTTTGGCCACTGATATGAAATACTGACGTGAGATAGACCTGGTTAAGGTACAGATATAGCTCACTGATATGAAATACTGACCTGAGATAGACCTGGGTAAGATACGGGTTTTGGCCACTGATATGAAATACTGACGTGAGATAGACCTGGTTAAGGTACAGGTATAGCTCACTGATATGAAATACTGTCGTGAGATAGACCTGGGAAAGATACGGGTTTTGGCCACGGATATGAAATACTGAAGGGAGATAGTCCTGGGTAAGGTACAGGTTTAGCTCACTGATATGAAATACTGACGTGAGATAGACCTGGGTAAGATACGGGTTTTGGCCACTGACATGAAATACTGACGTGAGATAGACCTGGTTAAGGTACAGGTATAGCTCACTGATATGAAATACTGACGTGAGATAGACCTGGGTAAGATACGGGTTTTGGCCACTAATATGAAATACTGACGAGAGATAGTCCTGAGTAAGGTACAGGTATAGCCGACTGATATGAAATGATGACCTTAGATAGCCCTGGGTAAGGTACAGGTATATCCGACTGATATGAAATTCTGGCCTGAGATAGACGTGGGGAAGATACGAGTTTTGGCCACTGATATGAAATACTGACGTGAGAAAGACCTGGATAACGTACAGGTATAGCTGACGTGATATATACTGGACTGTTCCGGCGCCTGGCCTGAGCCTCGGTTTTCCAAAAACGGTCCGACCCTTGTGTTTATTTTCCATAGGAAATGATTTTTCGATGGAAGAGAAAGCACAACGGCTGTTCGACCAATCAGAGACCCGAACAGGACGTGCGCGACCTCTGATTGGTCGACAAACCAAGCTTTTGATTGGTCAGGTTTCGATCCTGTTTGTCCTTGGGTGTGCATGACGATCCACATCCTAAAGACAACACAGCTCCTATTTTTGGGTGTGAACGTACGTACACTTATAAAACGCAATGAACAGGAACTTTGTCACTAGGGTGTGAACGTATGTACACTCATATAACTAACTCAGTGAATGTATGTACACTCATAAAAATGGAACTTTGTTAGTGAGGTGATCGTAGGTTCAGTGAACAAGTGTCAGGTCAATAAGGGCAGAAAGGTTGGTTCTTTTGATGTAGGGTACGCGTCTGGGCACTCAGTCGAAAAGCAGGCATCTCATCCACAGGAACGGAGGTAGACACTTTCGTATGAAACATTCTAATACAATGGCATCATTCTTGACGGTGTCCTTCCAGTCCAACGTATCTAAGACTTGATTAAAAGTCAGAGACAGTACACACCACACAACGTGCTGTACCCATGTTGTAAGGGGTGTGTATTCCATCGTTGTTGCATCTGACCCATGCGATTCAAAGTCTCTTTAAACAGAGGTAATGAATACAGTCCATAGCCATCCGCTCCTAATTGTAATAAAGAAGTTGTTCAACAATTTATCTTACCCTTACTTGCATTTTTCTCACTTACACAACCATTTCTAGAATGCCTTTATCAAAGGGAAGATATACGTTGTTTAGAGTCTGCTTGCCATGTCATAACATAAGGAGTGAGTGAGTATGGTTTCGCTGTTTTTAGCAATATTGCAGCAATATCACGGCGGGGGACACTAGAAACTGGCTTCAAACATTGTACCCAGGACGGGCATCGAACCCGGGGTAAGCTCCCAGAATCCCCCCCCCCCCCCCCCCCCCTTCAGAGTATACCCGGGTAGATTCAGGGAGCTCCCAGAATCGAATCCCCTTCAGAGTATACCCGGATAGATTCAGGGAGCTCCAAGAATCTACTCCCCTTCAGAGTATACCCGGGTAGATTAAGGGAGCTCCCAGAATCTACCCCCTTCAGAGTATACCCGGGTAGATTCAGGGAGCTCCAAGAATCTACTCCCCTTCAGAGTATACCCGGGTAGATTCAGGGAGCTCCCAGAATCTACTCCCCTTCAGAGTATACCCGGGTAGATTCAGGGAGCTCCAAGAATCTACCCCCTTCAGAGTATACCCGGGTAGATTCAAGGAGCTCCCAGAATCTACTCCCCTTCAGAGTATACCCGGTAGATTCAGGGAGCTCCCAGAATCTACCCCCTTCAGAGTATACTCGGGTAGATTCAGGGAGCTCCCAGAATCTACTCCCCTTCAGAGTATACCCGAGTAGATTCAGGGAGCTCCCAGAATCTACTCCCCTTTCCCAGAATCAACCCCGGTGTAGATAATAATAACTTGTTATTAAATCTAAAAATTCAAAATGGAGAGACCAGGAGAGATCAAAACAGAGTTAGATGCAAGAAAAAAAGAAAACTTCATGTACATTTATGTACATTCTCATCTCACATGTGAGATTTCTTTAATTATGATTACTATTTGGAAGACTAGAGCTCGCATCTTTGTCTTTTCAATTTGAATAACAGGATATGAATGTTTTAAAACTAATTGTGTACTGAATAGGCATTTATGTAAACTTAATCAGATGACAATGTTGTTACAGCAACTGACCAGAAGGGATCAAGACTGAGTTGGATGCATCCCCGAAAAGAAAACATTCATGAAATAAAGTGTTTAAATCAAACAGGGCTGGAGTAGATTCTGGGAGCGCCCAGATCATAGTTATAACCCGGGGTAGATTCTGGGAGCTCCCAGATTATAGTTATAACCCGGGGTAGATTCTGGGAGCTCCAAGATTATAGTTATAACCCGGGTAGATTCTGGGAGCTCCCAGATCATAGTTATAACCCGGGTAGATTCTGGGAGCTCCCAGATTATAGTTATAACCCGGGGTAGATTCTGGGAGCTCCCAGATTATATACAAGCAACATAAAGAAACTGTGCACGAAGAAAATATAGATATAAGGGCACACCGTCCATATATGAAATATAGGTTTGAACACAGCAATTATTGGAGACATTCAAACGCTCATGCACGTTCCATGCGATATGACGTCATTGATAGGGGCCTATGGACGTGCAATGTGTTACTGCACGTGCACCATGTGCAGCTGTACACATCGTGTGCAACTCAAAATTCGCTGTCACTTTGGACAGCATGATCTGTGGTTATTCAAAAAATCGAAACTTCTCAGGCGCAGACACAAGCTTACAGCCACACAAGACTATAAAAATATTCCTTTATATCTCAAAAGATGATTCTGATTCTCCAAAACGGCTTGACATAATGACAAATATATCTCGCGATACCAGCGCAATATTATCGCAATAGTTGAAATAGTAAAAGTGTATTTGTTGAAATTCTCCCAATAGGAACCACCAGTAATTGTATTATACAATGTGTTTAGATCCAAATAGCCAAGGTACATATATTTGCCCTATTGGCGACAGTATTGTCTTTACTGAGTCTAAATGTTAATGTTGACTGTCTACCTGAACCGTTGTAATATCGTTATGGCATTGAACACTTCATGGTAGTCACCTCTTTGCCATAGGAAGCAGTTGCCCATGCACTTCTGACATAGATCCAAATGCACCAAATACGGATATATTCTCTGTTGGGCACAGTATAGATTTTAATTTATATTAATTCAAATTATATATTTTGTTCGCTTTGTATAAGTTTATCGGTTTTTAAATCATTGTAACATGATGTTAGGTTTTACTTAATAAAAAACAAAACAGCATCAACAGCTTTGTCGTTAATAAGACAATAACAGTTTCGTTGTATGTGTGACAGATTATATGAAGGTGTGACACGTCAACTTTATCTTAATGTCGTGTGGGTTTATCAATGAACCCTATGTCGGTTGTTTGTTGACCAAGTATTGTCAAGATGAGCTAGGTGAGGTAAAAACAGACCAACGAAATGTCATAAAGACAATTTAAGTTTTGTTTTTCCTTGTTCCTGTATTTCTCCTTAGTCACCTACACATTGTTGCAAAAATTCTACTGAATATACATAGCTGTACGCTGCTCCATACACATCTGTACATAAATAAGTGATATTTGACCAAATATCCGTTCCAGTGCATTGCGCAAGGACGCGGACTGTAGAAATTCATTGTGTAAAAGTGCGTTTTAATCTTAAGTGCATCATTGGCATACATCGAGAACTAAACCACAACTGTATAACCCTAATTTGAACATGCTAACACTTCATGGCTAGTTACACACACAGAGAGACACACACACGCGACTGCACACACGCCCGTACGCAAGCACACAGTTACGGATGTGCACAGACACACTCAGACACTGATACACACACATACACACACAGACACTGACCCAGACAGACACACAGACACTGACACAGAAACAAACTCTACCCCAAACACACACACTGAGTAGCCTTGATATTTGTATTTTGTAACCCTGACTAATACTGCGAATATGTGCATCGCGTAGATCTTGAAAACTTACACCTGGTAATCAGATAAGCGGAAGCGGCTCTGTTTGATCGAACCAATGCTATCCTGTGTTTGTGATAAGGAACCTATATAGATTCGACTTCAATTTAACCTGCATTCATATACCTCTCAAAAAACATGTCAGAAGGTTCCCCTGTCATACGTATCAAAGCAGTAAGGTTAGCTAACTTGAAACGAATTTTTTAAACTGTGAAACGATAGAACGTTGTTCCTGATGATATGTAAATAGTCACAGAAACGAATCCAGTGACTATAAAGCTAGTGATCAGTTTGCCACCGTAATTTAAACGGCCACCATGCTGCTACTCTTGGTCTCTCTGTCCTGCCTTGCTGCTGTCAAGGCCCAGCTACGCTGCTGCACGGCATCTCAATGGTCAGCCACAATGGTCGACGCCCAAACCATGGCCAATGGAAATAACGTGAGTTTCACTGAAGAATTGTTGGTATACTACCAGAGAGTACCTGTCCGTGACAGTTTCATTACTGTACAGCTGTCTAGATTGTGTTCATTGTAACACGTAGCATTTGTAACTAAATCTGGCACAGGCATGTTTGAACGTGCACCACATTGGTGAAACCAACGAGCACGGGTATTGTGCTAACAGACCAAGAATTATAATCTAATCTTGGATTCCAAACCTTAACCAGCTGAAGCGGAATATAGCTAGAGATATATACATTTATATCGGCGTAATCGTTTCTAGGTATCGTCTGATATCTTCTACGATGACGTAAACAGCACTATCGCCATTCTGTACTATGAGTTTGGAAACAAACAACGTGTGTCACTGAACACAGTTGTCACTGCATACTCCAAGGTAAGCATTTAGTTTTTATTTTGATATTTAATTCGATGGCCGACGGTTATTGATGATCGATGCTCAGTATTTACTCCACTAATGAAACCCATTCATTTTAAATCATCAGTAATTGGCGAGTATTTTATTATCTTCACTGACTGCATGAATGATTTCGACGTTATGTTGAGGCCCTCGGGGAAAAAACACGTTGTGCTCGTACAATAACACTGATTTCATTCACATAGATTGTAGATCCTCGAGAATAGACTCTGAAAAGAAACGTATGTCAGTTAAAGCTGCATGTGAGAGGGTTGCATCTATAAATGAAAGTGAAACACTATGTTGCAGAAAGTACGTTACAACATCTCCCCTGACGGACAATGCACCAAGGAAAACATCACAGACATCATGATGCACAACTGCATTCCTGGTACAGTCAATACGTGTAACACATGGACAGTATTCAGTAGGTGTGATACACATGTATAGCTCCCCAACTGTATTCCTGGTACAGTCAATACGTGTAACTTATGGACAGTATTCAGTAGGGGTGATACATGTGTATAGCTCCCCAACTGTATTCTTGGTACAGTTAATACTTGTAACACATGAACAGTATTCAGTAGGATTGATACATGTGAATAGCTCCCCAACTGTATTCCTGGTACAGTCAATACTTGTAACACATGAACAGTTTTTCAGTAGATTTGATACAGGTGTATTGCTCGCCAACTGCATTCCTGGTACAGTCAATACTTGTAACACATGGACAGCGATCTAATCCATTCAGCCGCCAGCGAGGCTTCCACAAAAATGAAAGTCCAACAACTGGTAGTCTAGATCACGTACTTTGTCTACCCCTCTGACAATTTTGCATCACCTACATTCTACGTACAATATTTGCATGAACGTTATTCAGTAGAACGTTATTCAAGAGCTCATACACGTGAATCAGCTGCACAACTGCATTCCCGGGACATTCAATGCGTGTTACACATGAACGTTATCCAGTAGAGTTAATACACGTGCATCACCTGCAATCTATGTACGTCAGTATTTGTTACACATGAACACTTTAAAGTAGAGTTGATACACGTGAATCTGCTGCCCAAGAAAAAATTCCGGAACATTCAATACGTGTTATATTATAACGTCATTCAGTAGAGTAGAGTTTTGTCAACTGGAATTAATACACGTGATTCGTTCTGTTCAGAAACAGCTATCTACCGGGGATCCAGCTTTGTAGGCGATCAATGGGCTATGCTGAGGACTAGTGGTTGGCATTTCCCCATCGGCTCCCTCAACATCACCATAAGCGTCACCGACTACGACTGTGTCCCCGTCTTCATGAGTGTCGTGGGAATATCATCCTCATGTTAGTTCCAAGTTGGACATGAGTAGATTACTGATATTCACTAGGGCCTTGTCAACAGCGATCTCGGCGATCCGACTGTTGTAAGTCGATGTTACAGTGTGGGAGTTGTCAGGGCGTAGTTCGAGCGCCAGTTGTTTTCAGTTAATTCACTACAAAGAAGGACCCAGTTCGAATATGTATATGGACAAAAGAGTAGCCACCGACTGCCGAGTCATTAATAAAAATACATAGGTCACAAAAACATAATAAATGTATGCCTCTTTGTTCAAAAGACGATGCTAATTACATTTTTGTCAGTTGACAACATTTTGTATTAATGCCTTAAACACTTAAACAATATGTTACTTCATATAGCTGTTCTCTCTTGCTTGCAGCCCAAGTCAACACGCTGCTTTACTTCAACGGGCATAAAGCAGGTATCACAGATCCAACTGCTTTCGACGTTCCAAGTAATTGCTGATTGACAAGGTAATTGAATGTTACAATCATTCCCCCGACATCTTTGACATTTGTCATTGGTTTGGTTCATAGAATTCATTTATCCCACGTGATCTGGATTCATGTGTGTTCAAGGCGAACCGCATTTCCTGCACTGCACATGACTAAGCGTCATTATCTAGTTATTTTCACTTGTGTGTATATATTTGCCGCCATGGGCAAGCACTTGGTGATTGAATATTAGGCGTATTATAAAATGACTTATTAATATTAATTCAACTCAGGGTTCATTTTGGCACAGTTCCACAAGAGCAGCATATCTATATGAGATTCTTGTGATAATGTTTCAAATTATTAAGTTGATCTGATTTTGAAACGATTTATGCACTGCAATTTATCATGCTCATGCTAATATATGAAGAGTTAAGCGCATTGTTCTACAATGCGTTAACCTTGATTTATGTTATGTGGAACGAGGCCTATAATCAATTTAAGACCACATAAATAATAACACCCCCATAATCATCGGAAACATAATTAATAGCAATTTACACCCAATGGCTGAAAACGTCCCCAATACCTCGTACCTTCCCTAAAGGACCGTTGGTAGCATCTCATGACTGCAAAATAATTTCAGGTCAAATTCAGTGGTATTGTTGTCTTCTTTGAGAGGCATTGAGAAGTTGGAGTACTAAGTAAGGATAAGATTTATGGATGAACAACTTCTTTATTACAAGTAGGAGCGACGTTTCGGTGAAGGTTTACTGCCTCCTATCTCTATATATACTTGTCAACGTACGTTACTTGCTTGATAACGGTGTTAGAACCTAATTGATTGTTGTTTTTTAATACGAGTTGATGGTTCGCAGCTCCCACTCGCATGGTCATTGACGGATGCTAACACACATCAACCATTTTATAGTTTCCTGGCTGCTTGTGGGATCTGTTGGCATCATTTTGACTTCATTTTCTTCAAATGTTCTATTGTTTGTTTCAGAGTCCAGGATAGTTACAACGGCTGTATTTTCCACAACCAGTCGTCTTTGTCTTTCAGTAAATGTTCTTAAAATATGTTATCTTCATTGAATTAGCTGGGTACACTCTAAACGTATGTGCCCATATTATGACACGTCGACATAGCGGATTGTGTGTTCTGAACACAACAAAGAGGCGTAACAAGGACACATGAAGCCAGACTTCGACAGTATCTAAAATCTAAGGGCTAAAACATAAAGTTGAAGTGTTAACATTAACAATAATCTCAAATGGTGATAATAATGGCTCTTTCTAGTTATAAGATTCTGCTTTAAAAGGTTACTTGTTTTCCGGTAAATAAAAGCGACATAACAATGTCCATGATCATAATATATAAGGTCAACGCGAATAACCATTAAATATCTTGATTAACTGCCGATACATATTCCATGGGGAGTAATAGACAAAACAACAGCGACAATATTAATTATATGAACGAATGGCTTTAAATCAGTGATGACACAAGGTGTAAGGGTAAGCAGAACGACAGTGTAAGAAATCTCTACCAAAGGTAGAGTTCATTGTTAGATTCCGACCATATTAGAAGCATTTGTTTATGAATTACTATCAAATACATGTAGTTATGAAACCAAGTGTTCGCGAAAAGGTTTGAGGTATCGAGTCCCCTCCGTGGCATCCGTCACAAACACATGCAAAGAAAAGTCAATTGATCACCTAAAAGTAACCACGGGAGCACTTGGTATAAGTCAAAATAGGGAATTGCATCGGACATAATTTTTGTCACTGATGCGTCAAATTTTGAAACGTCCTCCAAATGTCTACAATAAAACTTTGTGAAAGTTTTAGTGAGGTCCTGACTGTTGAAACCCTGATCATAAATATGATGTTGTCTAAAATGTTCGAAGAAACGGGCATGTACCTCGATTGTACGTCCAAAGCTTCAGAGGAGTCGTCAGCGATTACAGTTAAGTGCTAATTCAATTATTCATATTTACAGCAAACAATCATGATGGTATTACACAACCTTGTGGAGTCCCAGTAGATGTAGGGTGTAGTTATGTGTAGGCCCTATTTACAGTGATATACAGGGGTCTGACAATGTTGGAGTTAAAATTCAAAGTTTCTGCATTAATAAACGAAGTTGCACTGCAGAAAGTCGTGAATGTGTGTAGTCTGACATACGAGTGAGATGGTTCTGGGGCTTTAGAGACATCGACCCCAAAGAGTTAGAATTGTGTCATCCTCGCCTCCCCTGGTTCCGGTCTGACTAAAGTAGGTCTAATAAATCATTTTTTAAAAGATGCTTAATTATGCAATTGCGACTTTTCATAGACATGGAAGCTACACAACGATAATACTTATGTTTGGAAGCATTTTGGATTTCGAGGAACAGGCACGCTTTTCAATGCTTTCCAAGGCTTTCCCAGCTTCTTTTAATGTGCTTTAGACCTGAGATGCCATATTGCAGTTTAACATGTATACCCTACTCAGACACAGTATACTGACTCCGAGTCAACCATTCCTTGTTTTATCCTTCTAACACGGGAACATATGGTCGAAATAGGGAATTGCATCGAACATCATTTTTGTCACTGATGCGTAAAACAAATGGAAATGTCCTCCACATGTCAACCATACAACTTTTTAAAAGCTTTACTGAAGCCTTGAATGTGGTAACCTTAATCAACTGATTTCTGAGCAAGAGCCGTATGACGCTCTTTGAAATCTTGGTAGAGAGAGCTTGCTCGATTGTATCTAAAAAGTTGTGAAACCATAAGCACTATAGGCTAGGGCGACTGGAAAATAGATGGACACGAAGAGAAAGTTGACTATTGGAAAGTTGAAGTCATCCCACTTGTCATACAGTCACGCGGAGAGCGGTTTGTCACTAAATATAAAACAGACGAGGCAATCTCTCTGGTTTCCTTTATTTCTAGTTCAGGTGGGTAAAACAGTGTAAGGGAATTGGCTATTTGATTGTTATTGAACAATATCTGATCATTGATATACCTGAAGCTTAATTTAAACATCTTGGCCAAATTACCTTGTTTTGACTTTGCCAATCCGATAGAAATTCCGATTTATGCATAAAGAACAGATTCCCAAGAAGGGGGAGCATCATTGGTGCCCATGGGGATGCCTACTTCTTGCCTAAATGACTTAGTCCAGCATTTCACATATTGTTTTCCCAGTAAACTTCATACTGCATTTGCTTTCATTGTTTACAAATTGTTCGGAACCTCTGAATATAGATATGCTACTGTATCTGTGGTCCAAGCCAACCAATATATCTTTCTTTGCGCGGAGCTTTGGAATCCAGTGCGAAAGAGACATGTACATGTCTTCAGGTTTTAGAGTCAAGTCAAAAGTTGATGGTACTGATGCGTGGTTTTGGCAGATTTCTTCCTCGGTTAACATACTGGCATTATATGTGACATCATTTGTTATGTCATTTATACCATGTTCTTTGATCAAACGATTAATGTAGTAACGCTTACAAATAATTGTTATTGTTTTTTGAGTCCTTGTCAGTGTGAACAACTACACACTTTGCATGTACGGCAGCCAGACTTTGGATGACAACTGGTTGGGACAGAATGGGTGAGTTCAAATTACGTTGTGGTTCTTTATAAGTTTATACATTCCACCAATCACAACTTCACGCACTGACTTATCCCACCCTGAAGAAATTTGACTGGTTCCTCTTCTCTTTTGATCGGGGCGGTCGGGTAGCCTTGTGGTTAAAGCGTTAGCTCATCACGCCGAAGACCCGGGTTCGATTCCCGACATGGGTACAATTTGTGAAGCCTATTGTCCCCCGCCGTGATGTTGCTGGAATATTGCTAAAAGCGGCGTAAGACCATACTCACTCACTCTCTTTTGATCCATTTCTGGCATATTCGACAGCATCTATAATGATTTTATGGTTGTGATCCCAATTGGTAGGCATTGGATTACAATGTGGATTCTCAAAATCTCATGAAGGATTTGTTTAACTTGTTAGAAGAACCAAGTTCAAATCTGTCAAATAATTTGATTTTTCAACTTTGTTCAGCACCATTCCTTGATACATTGTGCTTTTGAGATGACACGTGGTGACCATAGATACAGGCAATTCAATAGTTTACATGCCAAAAAAAAACCCATTACACATGGACAAATGGTGCAAGTCAACATTGGAATTTCATCATTGTGGTCACTGGTGCACCAAATTTGAAATTACCCTCCACGTCTTCCATGGACTATTTTGAAAGCTTTTACTATGACCCTTAAATGCAATAACCCCGACATTCTTCCAGCAGCTTAAGCCTTTGGTGTCTACGTTTCACACCTTCTGAGGTTTAATCGAGCTTGCTCTTTCTACGAAGTTTTCAAAGTGCTTCTTACGACTATTGCTCAAACGTCATGGTAACAGCATTGAAAGGGTGGAGGACATTTCCAAATTTGGTACATCAATGACCAAGAGGATATCCGATGCAATTCCCTGTTTTGGCGATATGTTCTCGCGTTCATTTTAGGTGCACATTAGACGTGCCTTTACATGTGTTTGTGAAGGGTGCCACCTGAGAACACCTCGTATCATCACTATTTGATATTGATACGTATGATTATGGAATTGATTGTATCGTTTTTGTACATGTATGTGGTGTATGTTTCGTGTCATATTCAAGGAAAGTCCCCGTTTAACGAACCGATATTGGCACAAAGTAAAACCAATGTTGATACCAGAAACATAACTTCTAATTGTTGTTAAAACAAATGAAAATATACTTTTCGATATTGTAACTGTATCAAAGGAACTAAAACATTTACGGTACGACTAAGAGTACCTTTATCAGAAATGCAATTATATTGTGTCTGTATACTGATTGACCAATCAGAATCGAGTAATTTCCAAATTCATGGTAGAATGTGCTGAGTAAACACACCAATGTTGTCATTATTTCATCAGAATAATACCTTTATTTAGCGTTTATTAGGAAATGTTATCAATATTTCTGAATAGTTCAAGTGATTACATAATAGTATGTAAAGACTCTACCTTGGCCACTGCAGCATTGTGCATGTTTGCTGTTACCGCTAAACACAATGTACGCATACATACATTTACTCGGGGTGGTTATTAGGGACGTTTTAATAAAGCAGAATTTCCAGCTTTATTTGACATGAGGTCAAAAAGGTTTCGTATAATCAGAAACTTGTTAGGGTACTTGTCTGAGTGTAATTTTATGTATTAAATATGTTGTGTAAATGTAAACTTTAAGCTGTAAAGTATGGGTGTACTTTGACTTTGCAGTTTTTGTGTTTAAAATCTATCGATACCATCTATAGTCAATCCAATATTAACGATCAATTTGAATATGTAAAACCTAATCTCCTTGACTTAGGGATATTGAATAAAAAACAGCTCCCTGAAGCCTGACATTTTAGACGATAGACAATAAGATTATTTGTAATACTTCAAATGAAGCGAGGGTGTCACTGAGACTGCAACAAGATCGGGTGTGTCGGGTCAATAACTCTTTGCCGGTCGGCTAATCCGGATAAGCGATAGTTCATTAGTGGTTGGCCGAATACATTTTGTTCTGGTGAAAAAGGGTTCATGTTGAACTCATGCTAGCCGGGTATCTGAATCGCCTTTATAGCTCAAATGATAAACCACCTGGCGGCGCTACTCGAGTACATGTAGAACATTATAGTATATGGTGCTAACGGCAATATGACCGTGTATTATTTGAATTTCATATTAATGTGTTTTAAGAACTTAGATCCTAACTTAGATTCCTAATGGTTGAGATATTGTTGTTTGAGAACACATGACGGTATTTTGAAAGGGTTCTGTCACTAGGGATGTTACAATTCACCAAAATATCGATGCATCGATAATGTTATACACATTTACTTTTATTCATAATCCTGTATCAATTGATATTTAATTCCCATTTCCTATCACACATGGACCATTTAAACAGCAATGGAATTACTTTGTTGGCAAAATGGGCCATACCAACATTTTAATAAACAATTTTATCTACATTGTAGAATGTGCATAGTTTTAAAATGAGAATGTTGTTCTAATCGTTTTCGAACTGAAGTTGACACTCTAGTTATATTTGAAATAAGGTTGATTGAAATGCGGCATTTCCTAATGGTGCTTATTTTGGAATATTAAAAAAACACGCAAAATAGATAAAGTGTTGCGTATGGTATCAGGAAATAGCTAAGTCGTATCGTGACATCCCTATCAGCTGATGTTAATGTGAATCATCAATTCAAATACTTTTGAGTGAACATATTTTATTATGTCTTTATACACCCGGGGTTATTTTCCATCAGACAATATAGGGACATTAAAGAATCACATGCAAACAACAACATACGGATTAGATGTCGGCAAAGAAACCAGCTCGATTGGATGACCCAAACAAGATCATGTATATTAACACTGAAACAGAGGCACAACACTGTTGACCTACTACTCTCTCAGAGTACCTCATCCACTGTTGTGGTGAACCTCAGTCAATACACTGCCCGCCTGCTATTGTTGCAGAGTACTCCAAGTTATACATTGTTCACCTATTTGTACTGGTCACGACTCATAGTATTACACTGCCAATTGACAACATACAAATAGAATACTTTGAAATATATGTATTGATCAAAAGTCATTTGTAAATATTAAAACTGAAAAGGCCAACAATCAAGGATCACAGACAATTTGCAATCTTGGCAGTTGCCTTGCTACTGACAGGAGAGGGGGACGCCGAAAGCATCTGGATTCTTGATGCCTTTTATATATCCGTTGAAGTATACCACTGTATCTACTGGTGCTGAAACATAACATTGAATGTGGTTATTATAAACCTGATTTATGCCAAAACAAAACACTATCTTTGAAATTAACATGCTCCATCACTGGTTTCACACCGATCCAGATGGACATGCTCCGCCATTGGTTTCACACTGATCGAGATGGACATGCTCCGCCACTGGTTTCACACGGATCCAGATGGACATGCTCCGCCATTGGTTTCACACTGATCGAGATGGACATGTTCCACCAGTGGTTTCACACTGATCCAGATGGACATGCTCCGCCATTGGTTTCACACTGATCCAGATGGACATGCTCCGCCATTGGTTTCACACTGATCCAGATGGACATGCTCCGCCATTGGTTTCACACGGATCCAGATGGACATGCTCCGCCATTGGTTTCACACTGATCCAGATGAACATGTTCCACCATTGGTTTCACACTGATCCATATGGACATGCTCAACCACTGGTTACATACCGATCCGGATGTACATGCTTCACCACTGGTTTCACACTGATCCAGATGGACATGCTCCACCACTGGTTACATACCGATCCGGATGTACATGCTTCACCACTGGTTTCACACTGATCCAGATGGACATGCTCCACCATTGGTTTCACACTGATCCAGATGGACATGCTCCGCAATTGGTTTCACACTGATCCAGATGGACATGTTCTACCATTGGTTTCACAACGATCCGGATGTACATGCTCCACCATTGGTTTCACACCGATCCAGATGGACATGCTCCACCACTGGTTACATACCGATCCAGATGGACATGCTCCGCCATTGGTTTCACACTGATCCAGATGAACATGTTCCACCATTGGTTTCACACTGATCCATATGGACATGCTCCGCCATTGGTTTCACACTGATCCAGATGGACATGTTCTACCATTGGTTTCACACCGATCCGGATGTACATGCTCCACCATTGGTTTCACACTGATCCAGATGGACATGCTCCACCATTGGTTTCACACCAATCCAGATCGTCATGCTCCATCATTGGTACACAGGAAACCAAATTAACATGCTCCACCATTGGTTTCACACCGATCCAGATGGACATGCTCCACCACTGGTTTCACACCGATCCAGATGGACATGCTCCACCACTGGTTTCAAACCGATCCGGATGTACATGCTCCACCATTGGTTTCACACTGATCCATATGGACATGCTCCACCACTGGTTACATACCGATCCGGATGTACATGCTTCACCACTGGTTTCACACTGATCCAGATGGACATGCTCCACAATTGGTTTCACACTGATCCAGATGGACATGCTCCGCCATTGGTTTCACACTGATCCAGATGGACATGTTCTACCATTGGTTTCACACCGATCCGGATGTACATGCTCCACCATTGGTTTCACACCGATCCAGATGGACATGCTCCGCCATTGGTTTCACACTGATCCAGATCGTCATGCTCCATCATTGGTACACACGAATCCAAATTAACATGCTCCACCATTGGTTTCACACCGATCCAGATGGACATGCTCCACCACTGGTTTCACACTGATCCAGATGGACATGCTCCACCACTGGTTTCACACTGATCCAGATGGACATGCTCCACCACTGGTTTCACACCCATCCAGATGGACATGCTCCACCATTGGTTTCACACCCATCCAGATGGACATGCTCCATCACTGGTTACACACGGATCCAGATGGACATACTCCACCATTGGCTTCACACCCAACCAGATGGACATGCTCCACCACTGGTTTCACACCGATCCAGATGCACATGCTCCACCATTGGTTTCACACTGATCCAAATGGACATGCTCCATCATTGGTTTCACACGAATCCAAATGGACATGAGCTGCGTTAATCTATATGTTACTAACACACTCTCTACTCACGAGATTGTGCTGTATCGACGACTCCCTGGAATGTTAGGATGCAGCCGGGATTTGTATAGCTAACGGTGTAGTTGAGGGGACCGAAAGGATAGAACCAGGTGTCCGTTTTCATCCCGCTTGCCTTGGTGCCGACATAGCTAGATCCAAGATATGTACTCTCGCCTACATGGAAGGAGACCACTTAGATTACTGTACACATATGAGCTTGGGTTTGGGTTTTAGGCCTCTGGTAACACTATTTCAGTTTTGTGTGCCAGATAACGTGAGAGGAACTACCATTGTGTCGCAACACGTCGAAGTTCACCATTTCGTGGAAGTCTACCATGACGAGTATGGCGTAAACAGACCAAGGATGATAATCGGGGTGAATGTTGGATTTGAATCCTTACCAGCGGATCTTGAAAACTAAGGGAAATAACTCTGCACAGCTTGCATCGACTTATTTCACCGAACAAACCCGGGCCCTTGTATAATATGTGTTGTGTCACTGCCAGCACTTATCTTATAAATATTGTTCTGAAATTGATATTGAATGATAGGACCCTGTTAGACTACCTTAATACAGACTTGAAAGGAAGAATATCACGAGCACCAGAGCGCTGGACTGTTTTCAACAGTTTTAAACGTACAATAAAGTGATTGAGTGTTCTTTTATGCCGCTTTAGCAATATTCCAGTAATATCAGGGCGGGGAACACTAGAAAAAGGCTTCACACATTGTACCAATGTAGGAAATCGACCGCCTTAATAACTAGGATATCCCAACCCGCTGTACAAATTCTACCTTGTTATGCAGATTTTCTTTAAACAATATCAAATAAAAACACAGGGCAAAAGAATTATTTATTTCCATTTCGATATCGTTATTGCGCTGACGTAAAGTTAAAAGAACCTCCGTTCATACCGTTCAACAACAACACGCACATGTACAACATAGAGATATCTACCATTACATCAAATCGAAATGTGAAACCAATCACAACAGAACATTATTAAGATGGACTTAGAGAGGTTTACAGCCCTGACTGCATCTTGAGGCAACGTTAGATGTAAAAATTTTAAAGATCAAATAAACGTCAAATGTCTTGTGCCCCGCAGCAGATACATCGCACACCAATAGTAACATCAAAACGACAACGAAAGAGAATAATAATAAAAAACAATATATAAGCATATAAACATAAACGTGATAAACAAAAGGCAAATGTGACAGGTTTGCAGGTACCTACCTGAAATGCAGTTTGGCACAAACTGGTAAGGGGCGGCAGTCTGGCTGCATGTGCCGTCAGCGTAGATGTCGTAGCGTGTTTTCTTCAAAGTCAAAATCACATTTACTGGGATGTATCTCACTGTATCTTAGAAGATGGTACATGCAATGATGCAACATTTTGGACTACACGACGATGTTCTTGAAATAAGTACAACGCATACTACAATAATCTGTATGCACCTGAGTAGGTGATGCCTTTATGAACTGTAGATACACGATTGGGTGGCATGTCTATGATCTGAAGGTAGATGGTTAGGTCATGATCACAACACATTGTAGCTACCTCATTGAACAAAACATCAATGATTTGAAGGTACCAGTTTGAACCATATCTCAATGAACTGAAGGTTCATATTTTGAACTGTGGGAGTGCGTCCGCCCACGTCCGCCCGCGGAAAGTCTCGGGTTCGATCCCCGGGCGCGTCATAACAAAATATGGTACTTGTTGTTACCCTGCCTCGTTCTTGGCATTTATGGACTGGTCGGCTCGGTATCAGTATACCGTGTCTGAGTGGGGAATGCACGTTAAACTGCGGCATGGTATCTCAGTGGGCTGGCACTATAAACTCCGGATTAGTACAAGCAGCGACACATACAAACGTACATGCACGTCTATATAAGTGCAATAATTTGTACGCGCCGTTAACCCTAATTTCACCTAGCCTCACCTCAGTGGATTCACATGATCCCGATTTCTATGAACTGTACACAGGTTGATCGATATCTCAATGAACTGTAGGTACATAGTTGGTCCCTATCTCTTAATGAACTGTAAGTAACAGACTGAACAATGCCTTAATGAACTGTAGGTAACAGATAGAACCATACCTCGATGAACCGTTCAGGGTACAAGGTTGAATTATTCCACATTTGATCAAATTTCTTTGACTCTGTACCTTGAACAGATATGCGATAGTGGCCTCATATGGCCGAAAAGTAGAAATGGGATACGAAAACTGGACAATGTCCAAATTGTCTGGTCTTCTACAACAACATTACATAGATTACTCTGTGACAAAAGTACAAATGCATGGAGCTACCTTGACGTACGATATGACAACTCTGTTTGATTTCACACGTTGAGATGATCCGTCCTTATAGTACTGGGTGGCAGTGGCTATTCTGTCGAAGTCATAGTAGAAGTCAGCCGTTATCTAAATAAAAGCAATAGAACCTCTCCATAAAGTATATACGAGAGGAGATTTTACAGGCCATGTGATCAAACTTGTGAAGGAGTACTTTCCAGTGTGGACTTTTCCAGCTGATAATTTCCAGATGTTTTTGTGTATAAGGCCATGATTTGAAAATACTCTCATAGAATTCCAATACCCGAGACTGAATTACTATTTTATAAATTCTGTTGTTACCATTATCGAATGGTTTTATAAAATTATGTTATCTTATAATTACCATTCCAACTTCGTGTCCTGAAGTGAACTTCATACTGATATTGTAAATGGATACTCTTTCCTCGTACACGTCACACATATAACAACACATTTAAATATAACTGGAAGTATAATAACAGATGCCTGATCATATTTAGGTTGTTGGCCCTCGTTTGCCCTTGCTCCCTTCCTAAAAGTTAAAATAACTCCTAAAGCACACCTCAGAAGGCCGTAATGGTACAGGAGTGGTCGTGTTAACCCAACATATAACTTCATTGCACATCCTTCACACCATGCATATCACACATGGAGGATATCCTTAAGAAGATATGCCTTAATCACAACAAGATACCAATGTCTTTACTATGGGATGGCAGCAGGGTACATTTGTATTTGAGGCAAAGTATTTGAATATTTACGTTTAAGGGAGGTACAGAATAATAGATATAATAGAGCTTTCACAAACACCTAAAGATACACATGCAAGTGGTGTGTAACTTACACTATTTCCTTGGGAGGGCTGGCTAACGTCGAACATCGTGGCTGACCATTGATTGGCAATACAGCAAGGTGTGGGCTGAGCCTTTGATGGCCGCCAGACAGGACAAAGTGACCAAGAGAAGCAGCATCATTGACATCAAAGGTGGAATGAAATGGAATAAACCGACCGCTAGTTTTATAGTCATTGGATACGTTTCTGCGAGTGTTTATATATTTGCTTGGTAAAATCGGGAACATGGTTCTATTTGATCACAGATTGAGTTGATAAATGACTGCGCTTAGGCGTTAATTGAGGACACCGAACTGTATGATAAGCGAAACAAGATTGAAACAAATGGTAGAATGGCATTGCTGACAACAGTCTGCGATTTCGATGGATGCACGTTAAACATGAGAGTCAACAGTATTCGGTTCATCATCACAAACATACAATAGGATTGGTTCGATCGAACGGACCCTATTCAAGATGTGCATTTAGTTGATATTTCTCAATATGACTTTCGCAAGAGGACATGGTTTTCATGATATATTTCGCAATGTTCTGGCATTATGCTTGTCCTCTGTCCTTCACATTAACCTTCTAAATTCAAGTTCAACAGTCATCTTTACGCATGAAGTATTAGAATGGACCACTCAAAATCAGTGATGACACCAGGTGTTCAAAAAAATGTAAGTATGTCCTGCCCTACCTGTCGCACCCGCGATTCACACAATTTGCATTAATTTTAAAGTATTTATTGCCCGGCACCACACAGCAGTACTCCTATCATGTGACGGTTCGTCTGTAATATCCAGTACCAGTTATTTCAATCTTTAATTATGTCATGGATGTGAAGTGTATGGTTTAAAGGAGGCTAATGTCATTGAAAGAGTCCATCTTAGATTTATTAAAAAGATTATGATGTGTTAAATTATCTAAACCATCGGCATATGTTTGAGGTGAATTGTGAGTACTGCCATTAATAATGTGCGGTTTGTTAGAATTATTAAATATTGGATGAAAATCTTAAAGTGTGATCCAAGTAAACGGAAGGGCAAAAAGAACTTTGTACCCGATTGAAGTGACTGTAATTAATAAACTAGAAGTAGCAACAACAAAATTTAAAATAGCCAAAGGTTTTTGTAACGTGGGTGCGCGTGGCCCACATCTGGAACATCCCAATTGCTCGCTCACGTTGTACTGATATTAGTCTTAGCACTTCAAATGTGTTTTTTTTTTTACAATGTGGATGTTTGACATTGCTACTGTGCAGCATTTATACCCCTGTAGCACGTGCATTTCTACTAGCAATGACATATCGTGATTTTTACATTTTTCGCATTTTCTCAAAATCTTCTTGCCGGTAGAAAATACAGGTACAACAACGATACGTTTGGTCTAGGTGTTTGTGCCTATTTGGGTTTGAACCAGTACAACTAACTTAAAATCACATTATTTTCAAATGTGCAAAGTTTGTTTTGCAGTTCAGTTTACATATATTAGTATATTTCATAAAATTCGTTTAGAAATGATGTTAAGTCATCCTTTTGTGGTTAAAAATATATATAACCAATTTGGTTTCGGATATGTTTGGATGGATCAACTCGTTGTAAATATAACTCAATTTCTGTCTGAATGTAAGCAGCGAAATAATGACAATACACACAAATGTGAAAAAAACAATTATCAAGTCTTAGCGAAACCAGACGTTATCTATCTATGAAGGATCCCTTATGTTTTGAAATGCAACTTAACAGTATTGGTGTTGTAAAATACCGACTAATGAGCACATTTAGGCTCAGTTCACATATGTTCATAATTGAAATAGGGAGATGGGTTAAACCCAAATTACAGCTATAACAGCTTTTGTGTTCGTTTTGTGAAAATAATTTTGAGGACGAATACCATTTCTTAATAATGTGTCCAAAGTATTTGGAGTTAAGACCACAGTATTTGCCAAAATACTCCTATGTACACCCTAGTGTTTTCAATTTCCTTTTATCTGTTTATTGTGATTTCAAGATTCACGCGATTCAGTGCATATTTCGCAATAAAAGTTGCGAAACACGAAATGTACCGAACTTAATCACGTCTGATCTTTGGACGATTTGTGTCTGAGGTCAATGACACAGGTAATCTGTCCCTCTTCCCACACGGGGCCGATTACAGGGGTGTTTTGAGATCCACAGTACACACATCCATTGTACATGTACATTATTAAGTCCGTCTGTTATTACTTTGTCCGTCAGTGATTACACGTATGGGTGACACGAAATGGCCATGCTTATGACTTTATACTTGTACTTTGCCTTTGTCTCTAATCGGGCGCTGCAACTCTTTAAGGTCAACAATCATTTGTTGGCATGTTAATTCAGATAATTGTATATTGACCGATTGTCTTTGTATAATAAACCATTGAATTGAATTGATACATATCCACACTCTTGTGAAGATGTCTCATCAATTGCTTATCTTTATACTAATTACGGAATTCAGGAAGATATTGGTAACGATCACAAATCAATAAAACAGGAAATTCGTCCTCGATATAACCACTGCAACACTTTGTACACTTTCCGTTAGGCCTAAGAACAATGTTGACTTGAAAATTATGCAAAGACCTATTGGAATTTAAAAAAGGTTCTTCTCAATGCTTTTAGCTTGTAATATTGTTAAATTTTGTTACAGCTGCAGTTGAGACTTGATAAAAGCATAATTAATGAAAAAAACGTAACATGCTGATGCTTATGTTGGCGAAGCATAAAATTCAACTTTTGTTTAATTAAATACAATTCACTCTTCATTATTAATCGCTTTTCAAATTGGCATATCGACACATGAATAGTAAACTCATTAATGTAGACACCTATTTGTTCATACATGTTTATGCCTAAGTGAGTATACAAACGACTTATTATTTATGTAATTCATGTAATGCGACCTTAGATGTTATCTTTGATAAAATATATACTGAACCTCAAAAGAAACGTCACCATGGAGAGATGCATGAAAAATCTTATTTGTCCAAACACTGTAAACATACTTCGAGACGTATTAAAAAGATAAAACTTGGCAAAAAAACTGATCATCAAGGTTCAAATTAAAGTGTCAAATGTTCTTAAAGTGAAACACAACACTAGTCTCTGAGAAAATTGCATCACAAGTCAGTATCTCGTGTGTCCGCCATGTGCTTTGATAACTGCCGTTCAGCGTCGATACATGGAATGGATGAGGCGGTTGATGAAGGCCTAAGGTACTTGAGCCCACACTCTGAGGAACGCCTGACTGCAGTTGTCAGCCTTGGTCGGACGTCATTCAGCCGTCTTTGAATCTCGTCCCACAGGTGCTTAATGGGATTTAAATCGGGACTGGGGGCAGGCCACTGAATAGTTCTGATGCCAATCTGCTGGAGGAAGTCTCTTGTTGCTCTCGCAGTGTGGGCCCGGGCGTTATCATGCTGAAACTCGTGGTTGCGGCGACGTGCCAAATGTGGTCTCAAGACTTAATCAATGTACCAAGCTGCTGCGACACCATTGCCTCTCCCTGGACCGATGTTCTGGAATACCACAGGGGTGGATTTTTATAGGGCACGAAATGGGGTAACGTATGTGCATTTCAATCTGCACGGAACTCGAGCATCGGGTTATCATGGCCGTTGCCGTGATGCGTTTGAGCGATCGGTTTTATTCTCATCTGCTTTGTTTTTTTTATCATCAAATTTCATTTTTTCCGTACAAGGTAATGTTAAATTTTAGAAACTTTGACAAAAAATACCCAGATGTTTAAATGACAACTTTTCATGCAATGTTACTTGGGGTGACGTTTCTTTTGCGGTTCAGTAGATATCCTATTGTTACAGAGATATTTTTCATTGAAGCCTAAACATGAAGAACCAGCCAAAAGAAAGTACACACCTTGAACATTGGTTTTGACTTACGAAAAAACAGCCTTCCTAGGCTGAAAACCGTCGCCGAAATCCTGCTAACCTAAGTCCCAAAACACGACTATGATATCCGTATCAAACACATCACTATCGAATAACCATTTCTCGTTCTTGTTATATTTTTGCCATGATCAAACATGAGTGAAAACTTTCTTTTGCCCGGCAGTTTAAACAGTTTAAATACCACAGCCAATATGTATAGAACCCTTGTCAGAAAACAGTCCTCTCAAACAAAGCCGATTTATCTCATTACCAGGTGTAAGTTAAATTATTACAATTAGCAAATGCCAAGGATCAATAACACCAACTGCTTTGTTGTGTTGGTAAAGCGTCACAGTTATTTCCATAATCATAAGAAATCTTTGTTAAATGCAGAATCGATAGGATAATTCCGACAATATCATAAGCATGTGTTTATGGGTATCGAATAGTGATGATACCAGGTGTTCGTGAAAAGGTGAGCGTATCCCGACCCACCAGCGGTAATCGTCACAAACACCTTACAAAGACAAGTCAATTGTCAGCTGTTCGCCTGAAAAACATCTGAACATCAAAAGTTAAAGAAATTGCATGGGACATAAGCATGTCTAACGAGGACGACTGTGTATGAGCACATCTTCAAATAGTGGACGTCCGACGTCATATAGCTGGAATATTGCCAGTCGAGGCGTTAGACAAGAAATAGTGGACGTCTTGTTAGCAAAAGAGCTCCCACGAGCCACTAGACATGTTATAAGGTTTGGTGATAAACTTCAATTTGCCTCAAACAGACCACTGCATACGGTAAAATCTTGGATTGTTGAGGCTGGGTTGGTCTGGGCTTGGGCTAGTTTTGTGACTTTTCTGATTTGGGATTGTTTTGCCCGACCGACTTCATGTCTGGACCTTAATGTAACCTTATTAAGTGACCTTTTACAAAGCCGAATTCTCAGTTTTATTTGACATGATAGAAAACCATTTCTGGGCAGCGCGGTACCATGTACCATACTAATATTGAAGGAACAAAATAGAAACCGTTCGTGCCGAGACAGTAAAACTGCACCAACTATGCTGCAGACGAAACTGCTGCTACATATGGTTTGGATTCCACTCCTCGGTTGAACCTTCGGGGCGTCATGAAGTCAACATATGTTCAACATGAAGGCAACTTCTATTTCAAAAACAACGATTCATTTACAAACATCGTTAAAAAATGTTCAGTAATGTGGAGGACA